TCCTGGGGAGGGGGCACCCTGCACCAGCCCCCCCATGAGCTACTCACCCAGAGCCTGGGGAAGAGGAGGCCATGAGGGGTCTCACCACAGACCCTGGTGACCCGAAGGCAATTGCAGGCATGACAGAGCCAAGCTCTTCTCAGGGCTGGACATGGCCACATTGTCTTGCCCTGGTGCCAGGACCAAGCAGCCTAGAGCCCCCCCAGAGGTCCCCTCCAGCCATGCCTTTCTGCCACTTGGCGTGTAAAGTGGCACTGCCCAAACGAACCAAAAACCTACCCAAAAAAGCCCCTGTGCATTTCCATGCACCCAAAGAAAGCCCCGAACAGCTGCAAAGGTACTTGATCTTTTATTATTAACAGCAGGTAAATACAAGATGGTGCCGGGCTGGAAGGGCAGGGGCTGTGCCTCTGCGAGGGGCTCCCAATGGCCATCAGCCTGGACCAGGGCGAGCACGGCAGTGAGGGCACATGGGCTGAGACCCTGTGGGAGACGGGGCGGCAGCGGGACGGGGAGCGAGAGCTCCCCCAACCCCGAGGGCTCCCCCAGCCCCGCAGCTCCCTGCCCAGGCAGCCCAGCGCCCGGCAGAACAGGGCCTTCACCTGGCAAATGCCAAAGGTGACTCGTTCGGGTTACAAAATGAACAAACAAAAGCCATCTACAGGTATTTACAGTGTCCCCCTCCTGCCACCGGTTCGCTCCAGATGTGAGTCAGAGCTTGGGGTGTGCCCAGCCCCCAGAGCAGGTTGCCAAGGGCAGAGCCCCAGCCAGAGGGGACAGTTCTCAGCATAAGTGCCAGCACCAGGGGCTGCCGGAGCTGCACTCGCAGCTCCGTTGTACAGCAGGATCTCTGAAGGGCCCGCTGGCCGTCGGCTGGGGAGATGGTCCCAAGAGATGGGACGTGCCCATGGGACACGCACCCCCTCCACCAGGACAGGCGGACGTCAGCGTCCCACGGGGACCTGGTGCCTGTAGCAGAAAGGCCAGCTTTGCACCGGGTTCTGGGTCTCTTGCTGATCATCTTTAGCTAAAAACCTCATCAGGAGGACCGCGTCTGGGCCACCTCCTCCTCCGTGGGCAGGAGAGCTGGGTCTGCCCTCCCAAAGGAGGACCTCCTCCCGTGGGAAGGAAAAGCAGAAGCAGGGTTACAGCAAAGACGAAGGGGGTGGTTCTGGCCTGGGGATCGATCTACAATCCACCATAAAAAAAAAAAAAACAGCTTGAAACAAAACCCATCATTTACTCTTTGATTTGTACAAAATAACAATAATAACAATAAAAATAATAATAAAAGGTGCTGGTGGCCCCTGGCTTGCAGTGCCCCACTGTGGCAGGGGGTCTCAGTAGGCAAAGATGACGTGGTAGGTGACTTGGTGCCCATTGTCCCAGGCGTAGAGCAGGCGGTCCTTGGGGTTATAGTCTATCTGCGTGGTGTAGGCATACTCGTTCTCAAAGAGCAGCCGGGGGATGATCTGCGTGTTGGTGTGCGTGTCAAAGGCGTAGGAGATGTTTGCGTTCCTCTTGTTGTAGCTGTCGACTGCGTACAGGACCCCGCAGATGACAAAGCAGTTTCCATAGAAGTTCTTCCGCAGCCCCGTCCGCCATGTGGTCTCCTTC